TAGTATCCTCTGAGAGTCCAAGGGTTATGCATCACCTTAAACTGTTTCTCCAAGGGTGAGAATCACTAAACATGGAAAAGAGAGAACAGCATGCTGATTTGACAGAATCATTTCAGCAGCTGCCTGCTCTGCAAATGCTGTTGAATCTCAGGGATATTGCTGGTAGTTGCCGAAATTATGACTGCAAGAGAGGCAAGGAGTGGAAGCACAAATTAAAACTCTTGGGAATCGTTCTGTCTCAGGTCTGTAATAGTCTGCATTCATTTTCGCTTGGAGGTGTTTTATTGAAACTCTCTCTCTTCCCTCCCTCCCCCAGTAATTATCCCATTGTAAATCCACAGTGTGTGAAAGTGCTTCAATTTGAAACCCAAGCTATACCAAATTGTTCACATCCATGCCAGTCATTCTCTGCTACATGAAGCCTGGAAAAAACATTCCTTTCATATTTTTAATCAGAAAAAAAACCCCAAGGGCTGTTGTTTTCTTGGAATGTTCTGAGTGAGCATATGTACTTCATAAAACCACTTCTGGTGTGTCAGTTCATCTTCTGGAGTGCCAGTGAACCTTGAAGAGTGGTCTCTTAATTATATCTCAAAGCTTTAGTTAGATTTTAGAAAATCAGAGGAGCAGCTCGTTGCTGCTGAGATCAGGAAGGACTTCCAAGTGCATTTGTCAAGACACCACATTAATGTGACCCTCACCACTCCCCAAATCACCTTGCCATAGTCTGTTTTGCAGTGCAATTGCAGGAGGAGACTTTCCACCAGCATTACAAAATGCCTTCAGTTTCCCCTCCAATCCAGATGATGATTCTGTTTGCTGATTTCCCACTGGGATTTCAAAGGGAGTTTGTAGAGCCAGGCAACTTCTATATGCCCTTCCTCACTACTTATTCAGAAAGGCTTTGTGGCAAATATATATGTATTTGTGCTGAGGTGGTGCCTTCATTGCTCTCAACTCCATAGCCAGGGGCAAAACTCAGAGATGCTGATGTCAGCTGCAGCCTTTAGTTGTCTTCAGACCAAACCCCTAGAGAGGGGAAGAAGGGCAGAACTATGAGGGGTGAGATTTTCTCCACCTCCAAGGGCCAGATAAGGACAGCAGGAACAATTGTATTAACTCAATGGAATTAACCCTATGGAATTGCTATCATCTTACCTTATCTCTACACCAAGGGTACAGTGTCCTGAAAATGCAAAGGAAAGCATTTCTGCCTTATTAACCTCACTTTTATGCTATCAGAAGGGTATCCAGTTGTGTATTAGGTTTTTACACAGTCTGCACAAGCAAACCAATAGATTTTTAAAAACAACAGATTTTGCATAAAGCAGCTAATTGCTGGGTATTGGTTGCAGTGAGCTGAACTCACCTGGAGCAGTCTTCTAGTCACAAAAATCTCTGTATCCAGTCTCCTGGGTAACCTGCTTCTCCCTGCAGGCCTTCTTTAACTTGCTGCTTATCTTCCTCACCATGTTGTGTTGCTTTATCAAACCTGGGGAAGGGAAGAGAGACAGTGGGTTACACAGAGAGGCAATTTACAAGGTACACCAGCACAAAGCAGAAATAAAAAACAAGCAACCCCCAGTACACAAGTGTGAGAGACATACAAATGCATAATGTCAGTCATAGCTGTCACTGTTTTCATATCCATGACATAATTCCTGACTCCCTTGAGTCCATGACATACAAGCCCAGGATATAATAAGCAGGGATGAATTAGCTGCATGATACATTGATGAACAAAATGAAATCAAGTGCTTTTATTGTACAAAGGGAACTGCTCTGCGCTAAACAGTGGATACATGAATTCAAATTATGGCTCACGCTGCATAAATGATAATGAGACTGTCTCAGGCTGAGTGAGAATGCTGAAGGGACCAAAGACACCCACATGATGCTGCATCCTAACAGTGCTTATCCTTTAACTGGGACAGTGGAATTTATCTTCAGAACAAACAGTTCTCCTTTGACAGACACCTGTCTTGGCAGAAGGGCATCCTTGTGCACCTCACACACAGCACTGAGCCAGCAATATGGCTATTTATTCTATCTTTCCCCCCATCCCAAGTGTCCTATATTTTTGTCATTTACATTGAAATCCAGTCATTCCTTGACATTACTGGAACCACTAGCATTGATCTCATTTGATACCACTACTTCTGTAGATAGAGGCAGGACTTCCCTGCAAGACACAGCGATGAGTCCAGGCAAGACACAATACTGGAAGTGAAGGTACAGCGCACGTGTCATGTGGCAATAGATGAGTTACTTTTCAATCTTTCATTTGAAAGTGACATATTCAGAGATTCCTGAGGGGACTTTCACAGCCTTTTTGGGTTTTTAACTATTCTTCTGAGCTATGCAGCCAGTCAGTTTTATCTTGATGCTTCCTAGCATTTTCTAGGTGATTTCATTTTGGCATTTAATGCTTTGCCTTGGGAAATCTTGAAGTGTGCTGCTGTAAGCAGTCAATAGCACTCAGGACACGGTCAAGGACACGCTGGAGAGCACTACATTTGTGGCTTGTTTGAGAATGTCTGATGGTAGGTTCAGCACTGCACAATTCTCATTGCTTGAACTGGAAATGAGACTGAAGGATGACTCACGCATTTCCACATCCAACTTCTGCAATGAACCTCTGACCCAGATGATTTCTTAGAGGCCCCATCTTTTCTTTAAGAAGGAATAATTACAAGAAAGGAACTAACCTAGTAAGACATTGCAGCCTTACACTGCAGACAGCATACATTAGGCAAGGATGGGAGAGTTTGAGAAATGTCATCCTGACCTCTGGGTTCTGCTGTTTCATTTGCTAGACCTGGGGAGAAGGCTGCTGGTATGAACTGGACAGGAAATGGTAAGTTACAGCTGAACTGTGTGAGGTTGAATTGGTCACTTACCAGCTTCTCTAGCTCTAAAATGAAACCACATTTCTTTCAGAATAAGTAATGAAGAACTTGTTGTTTGTACCAGGCTTTTAGGCAAAGGGTTCAGTCATCTAGTTCTAGGGAAAAATCCAGGGCCAAAGGAAGCAACTAAGTAGCTGCCAGCCATCCTAGCTACCTGGCTCAACCCCTAAGACTGAGCTTAACTTGACTTAGCTGTTGGGTGACATAGCTGAGCACAGTTAGCACCTTAAAATAACCTTTATACTGGTGTCTATCAACAGTTTCTTTGTCACTCCTTACTTTTTGGTCACACCACCCATATATGCACAAAAACTTTCTTCCTGCAGAAAGCTGTTAAGTCCTTTGCACACATTAGCTTTCCCAGACACTGATTAAAATCAAAGTATAATGTTCAGCCTTGTCTCACTGCATTGCATGTGCAAGCAGAAGGAAGAGTTTGGCCGGGTTTTTGGAGCCAACAAACTGATCTGTGAACACTTTGGCTGGGTGTTTGCAGCCAAGAAACTGATATATGCATATTTTTAACTTAATGGTGGCTTTTAAAACAGAATCACAGAATTGTTAGGGTTGGAAGGGGCCTCTGGAGATCATCTCATCCAGCTCCCTGCCACCCCCTCCACCTGCCAAGGCAGGGTCACCTGGAGCAGGTGACACAGGAACGTGTCCAGTTGGGTTTGGAATGTCTCCAGAGAGACTCCATGCCCTTCTTGGGTGCCTGTCCCAGTGCTCTGCCACTCTCAACGTAAAGTTCTTCCTCATGTTTAGCTGGAATTTCTGGTGTTCTAGTTTATGCCCACTGTCCTGTGACTGGGTACTGCTGAGAAGAGTCTGGCACCATCCTTGTGGCACCTCCTGGAGGCATTAAGGAGATCAGAAGCTGTGGGGTTCACATCAGGCAGGCAGAGCACCCCAACCTCCACTGGGACACGTCCAACCAGCTGCCTCTCGGCCAACTCCAACAGAGCCCCTCGGTGCAGCCACATTTCTCTTCACAGACAAAAGCAAGGCACGGCTTCCCAAGGATATTCTGGGTTTCACATTCTCTGAACCTCAGAGAAAGGAAAAGCTATTCTTATCTCATTTGCTGTGCCTATGTTTGTGCCAAAGCAGAATGCAATACGGAAATTGTTTACCTCACCCAGAGTGAGGGTGTTTTGCTTCCTTGGCCTGTCAGGTGAAATAAATGGGCAGGAGATCTTTCTCCTTTTAAATGCCTTTATTAAGAAGAATCAGCTCAGGTGGGGAGAAATCGATGGGTCACACCCACGCCGCCGCTGCTCCCAGGCGTGGCACGGAGGAGGAGGGTGATGCAGCTTTGTCCGCTGGTCTGCAGGCAGAGCTGACGATTCCGTCCTCACGGGAGATTAGGAGAGTCCTCCTTTTTGGTCCAACACCCCGAGTCGTCTCTTTAATCAAGATCTTTTAGGTTAGGGTAAGAAGCAAAAAAGGATCCAAGCAGGTACTGGACTACGTTCCCATCCTTAGACGTCACTTAGGTCACTTAGTTCTATGTTGGCTTGTAATTTTAGGGGTTTTCCTGGGAAAACTGCAAAATTCGGGGCGCAATGCATTTCTCATCTGCATAGTGGCTCTGATGCCACTCCCATTCTCCTGGTACCTGCAGGGTCTGTCCGGGTGTCCCTCCCTGGCAAGCGAAAGGGGGACAACGGTTAATCACCAACCATTAACAGGTAATTGAAGAAGAACTCTTAACAATGAAACTAACTTAACAGCAAATGGTCTGACTTGGTTTTAACTCTGCAACATAAAAAAAAAAAAATAGGTAACTTTTTATTCATAACATCGGGGCCAAGAGTGTGTGTGTGTGTTGGTGTGTGTGTCGGGACTGTCGGCTGACAGTCACAAGGTTCTGTGCAGCGTGAGCAGAGCTGAGTGCTTGGCAGATTCAGTTTAGCTATAACATAGTGTAATATAATATAGAATAACATAGTACAATAAAGTAATTAATTAGCCTTCTGATAAGACGGAGCCAGCCGCCTGCCTCCCTCCCGGCTGGGTGTCCCAGGCCCGTTCCCCGCCCGGCTGGCCCCGGGCCCGGCGCACCGGGCGGGGCCGGGGCGGTGTCCCGGCTCCCCCCGCCCCTCTCGCTGCCCTCGTGAGCGGCCCCGCGGCCGTCCCGGGGCTGCTGCCATGGAGCTGCCGGCCGTCAGCCTCAAGGTAGGGGCTCGCCCTGCCCCGGGGCTCGGCAGGGGCCGGGAGGGCGGCTGGGGGCTGCTGCGGCAGCGGGTTGGGCGCTGGGATCGGCCCCGCTGTGTCCTGCTCCTCTCGCATGGTCTCCGGCCGTGTGCCTGGTCCGGATCCTGGCCGAGGCCCTGCTCGGAGCTGCCGAGCCCTCTGAGCAGGAAACACTGAAGTTTCTGGTTTTTGTGGTTTTTTTTTTTTTTTTTTTTTTTTTTTTTTTTTTTTTTTTTTTTTTTTTTTTTTTTTTTTTTTTTTTTTTTTTTTTTTTTTTTTTTTTTAATCGCATGGGCAAAGGCTGCAGGAATTCTGAACGCCATGAACCCGAGTCGGGGGAGGTTTAGGTTGGCTGTCAGGGAAATGTTTTCCCCAGAGGGTGATCAGGCATTGAACTGCTCCAGGGCAGTGGTCACAGCATCCAGCCTGTCTGAGTTCAAGGAGCCTTTGGACAACGCTCTCAAGCACAGGCTGGAATTCTTGGGGTGTCCTGTGCAGGGCCAGGAGCTGGTGATCCTGATTTTGTGATTCTTGGTTAAACCCACCAGGTGATGACTCCAAAGTCAGGGCCAGGAGCTGGTGATCCTGCTGGGTCACTTCCAGCTCAGTGTATTCTATGATTCTTGGTTAAACCCACCAGGTGATGACTCCAAAGTTTGCCCCTACTTCAGGGGTATTGCTAAAGTGGCCAAGGACTGGGCAGAGACAAGAGCTGGCTATTGTGACCATGGAGGTTTCTAGCTCAGCTGATCAGAGCTAAGCCAAGAAAAACACTGCACAAGATCCCAAGGAGACAAAGCTTTTGCTTGTCAGGCAAGGTATCTTAGAAAAATAAGCCCACGTACTTGGGGCTTATCATCTGATACATAACTGCAGTTGCTTCTCTGCTGGGGAGGGCAGGCTCCACTTGTGGGCACTTTGGAAATTTCAGTGAAGATCTGATAACCAGAGAATGGAGATAAAAGAGACTTAACCAGTAACATAACATTTTTCACTTTTGGAAGAAGCACTTCCTTGCTTCTGGCAGTGGATATTAAAATCACACTGTTTGCTTTGATACTGACGTTTGATTCTGATGTCTTCTGTGCTACCAGACATGTGACATTTTCCTCTACTTTTTTTTGTCTTTCACATTTTCAGAGCCCTGAGATTCTAGGTGTCTGTGTCCTTCCCCAACTTCACTACTTTGTGATTTCATTTAATAAGCATGGTTCAGGTGCTTTCTTTGGTTAAAGCTTTGCCCAGAGACTGAAAGCATCACAGAGCACATCAGGGCTTTTTTTTTGCTGATTTGTTAAGCTGTGAGCAGTAGCCTTGGACCAGGCTGCCTATGGGTTGGATGGGAGAAGAGTATTATCTCAGGCACCATTATTAATTCAGCTTTTACAGGATAGCTTTCATGTGGCTGTATTAAAGAAAAGATTGGTGTTCATATAATGATGAATACCCCTCTTACTAGTTCACCAAGAAAAGCAACTTCCCTCATTAGAGACAAGTAAGCAAATGGATTTTTCAAGGCCCTGCTTGTGGATTATATTACATTCTGGAAACTAGCTGATACTTTGCTCTGACAAGTTTGGACTACTGTGTGATTCCCAGGGCACTGGGAAGATTAAAAGATTTTGCCTTCTGCTTTTATTTTTTAACTTGGTTTGATTATTTTTTTCCATGCTGAAACAACAGTGAAAACTAAGGACATTTAATTAAAAAGTTTGCCAACATGAAATACATGTTCTGCCGTGGGAAGTGGAGATAGAGGAGCTGAAAAATGCTGACTTTTCAATGAATGAGTCACAAAGACAACAAAACTAAAATGTTGCCTTCCTTCTCTTGTTTCAGACAACCATTTCCCAATCTCTTGTTAGATAAGTGGGAGTTTGTCCTGGGCAAACTGTTTTCAGCATTAAGAAATTCCTTGTTTTCAAGTCTGCCACTTCTGCTCCGAGCTGCGAAGACAGGAATTGGGAGTTAATAGTTGTACCTACACTTCATTCTGCTTCTGAGTTAGGGCCTGATTCCCTGTAAAATACCACAAAGATGGGAAGGTTCTTACTCAGAAGGACCTGGAAATAACACCCACTGCTACTGTTCATTGGCATGATCTGCTTACTGGTTCTGTGAGATTATAAAGATGAGCCTTGTGATAGAAGTAGTTCCAAGAAAGCTGCATGACTGAGCTGTGTTTGTGCCAGAATGGAGCAGTGTCTTAGCCTTGGGGTGGCTCTTTAAGCTACTTGCAGAGCTGTAAAATTAGGCTTTGCCCTGGAGTGGGTGGGGAACATGTTCATGGAACAGGATCTACTGGCTCGGTTCTAACAGCCATGCTCAGCAAAACATGGGGGAAGCAGCACAGCCATACTTCTGCCATGACAGCTTGACACCTATGATTATTGAAATAATCCTGCAGAGCCTCAAAATACAACGTTTGATTTTGATCAAGTCTGGACAGTGCCCTACAATTCATGTGCCTAGAAACACACATTTTGTGCTTAGGCATTTTTAAATGCTAAGTCACAGAATCAAGGGATAATAGAGATGTCTGTATGCCATGTGATTAAACCTCCTACTCAAAGCAAGGCAAACTGCAAAGTTACATCAAATAGCTCAACTCAAAAATCAGCTGAGTTTTAAAATAAGAACAGAGCCATGTCAGCCTGTCCCACTGCTTAAGCACTCTCATTATTATCACTGCGTTGTAATAATGAGGAGCATCCTCACAGGTGGCCATTCAGATTCATATTTTGGTTTGGTGTGTTCTCAGGTGAATGTCACTCATAGAGTAGGTGAGCTCACTTGAAAATAGAAATTTAGATACAAGAAAATAATTGTAATTTGGAACTGTTTCATTTTTAACTTGGTCAAAATTCAGTCTTGTGCTAAGCTCTGTGCTGAAGCATGTTTAAAGGAGTTCCTATTCCAAAGAGTTTCCCATCTAATGAGACCCTGGCAGACCTAGACTCTTTTTATGCCTGGCAATTAGTTTCATTGCATGCTGGGATTTGCAAAGGAGATAGGAATTCTCCTTAGCTCTCCCCAGTTTCCAGTGGGGTGCTTTTAATTACATTGCCATCTTTTTTTCCCAGAAGAGATGGAGACAAAGGACCCACCTTTCTTATTTTCTGCTCTCACCACTAGTTAATCAAGAACTTTGGAGTTATTTTCTCAAAAAGAAGAAACATATGTCTGTCTTAGCTACAGACTTAAGTCCTTGCATAGATGGAAAAAATTCTAAATTCTTCTGTTGTCTTATCAGGAGACTGCCTGCAAATTAACTAATCTCACATAGTAATTTGTAGTTTTGCATTAACACTATATTTTCTATGTTAAAGCATAACAACACCACCAGCCAATTCCATAGTGTGTTGAAGAACTGTCAGGTAAACTGGACTAATAACTAAAAAAGGAATATCTTGGTTTTATTTCAGCAGTCATTCATAGTATCAGTCCTAGTTTACCTGACTTTATGCTGATTACTAAACATACTTCATAATTTAGTAACTGCAGTATTGATCTAGACAGCTATTTAAAAAACCCACCCTGCCTAATTATGTTAACTGGTGAGCTTTGAGGGGTCTTGGGGATATATAACATGCAATTAAATACTACCTAATTAAGAATTTTCCTGATGTTGTGATAGTCTCTTGAGTAAATGCTATTTTCATGTCTCCATTCTTATCCAAGAACAGCTTGTATTTTACTGATTAGCAGTTTTCCAGTGTGTCTGTGGTACAATTTGGGAGCAGGGGAAGCATGAGAGGTGGTGAAACATTTTGTAAGCTTTCATGAACAATTAAAAAAATTAATTAATAAAAATCTGTCTAAGCAGTGTTGGAAGTTACAGCAAAGTGTAGTGAGTGCTCAGCAGCTGTGATGGGGCACTGCAGTGAAGGAAGAGCAGGAAGGCATTTGCCTTGTGCTGTCCTGGCAGAGCAGCCTGAGCCACCCCTGTGCTTTCCTGATTGTGCTTCACTTATGTCACAGCTTCACTCTCTTCTCAGCAACTAGTTTTGTTTTAAGTTAGAGCACAGAGAGATGTTTTAAGTCAAGGAATCTAGCAGGATATCAGTAGGTCTTAATTTTCTTTGTGTGTCTTAATGCTCTTATCTGCATACAGCTTTCCTGTGTCCACTGAGTAACTTAGGCTTTTGCTGTGTACTTATTTCCCAATTTTATTTTTTTCCTTTGGGGGATAAGGGGAAGTGTGCTTCAGAGGAGTTTTGGTAATGTGGGTTTGGTTTTTTTAATACCAAGGTCAGCAGAAATGCCAATTTGAAGCCTTTCTCATGGCTAGGAAAAAATTAAAGTGCACCTGTATCCCCTGGATCCTCTGATTTGTCCAGGCTTCAGCCTTTCTTTAGTGAGGCTGTTAATAGAGCCTGTCTCCCATATTCTTGCTTTCACAAATGTTTAGAGAGGAAATATGAGGGACCTCCCTTTGTTGGAGCGACCAGCAGGCTTATAGATATAGAAAAAACCTGAAATGATATATTGTTGTTCCCATATGCTCGCTCTCTGAATAAACATGTGGGGTATGTTTCCTTGGTTACAAAAATGGCAAGTGGTGGTGAAGAGAATCCTTGTATCACTTATTACAGTACCAGCCTTTCTTCTTAGATTTGTTCCAATAAGCACAAGGACCAGGATCATTAAGGACACTTGCAAAGTACAGAATTTGTGACAGCATTATCTTACTGCAGCTCAGGGCGCTGTTGGCAACTGGACCTAGTGGCTTCACTGCGAGTGAAAAGAGCTGTGTGCTCTGGCAGGATCAGGTTCACAGAGTCCTGGAAGAAGCCTTCAGGTCTGTTAATACTGCAGTGAGACTGGACCACTGCTCTGAACAGACTGGAAGGAGGTAAAAGAAGGATTTGCTGAGGATTGGAGGGAAATTCTGGGAGCTGTAGGCATGGCTATCCATGGCCTTTTTGGTGATGGGATGCCAGATTGGTCATGTATGAACTATGCTAGCACAGCGTTAATCAGATTGCCTGGCTTTCTGTGCAATCTCTTCTGGAGTTCCAAAATTAATAACCCATTTAGAAAAGGCTAAGTGGTCCCTGAATCAGATGTTGACAGAGATGACAAGAAGAGTGAATGACTACAGTGTAGCACCACAGGACATACTCAGCAGCAGATGTGGAGAAAAATAGCTTTGTCTTCACTGTCCCAATTGCTTCACCATCTTTCTGCACTGGTTCATGGGTCCAAGCCACTCTTCCACCCATCCCTTGGGAACAAGATGGTGCCATTTCACACTGATCCTCCCAGAGTTCTCCCAACATGCTAACCTCTCTTCCTGTTTGTTTGTTTGTTTTTTTTCATAGGCTATCATTCTGGTACATTGGCTGCTCACAGTGTGGTGAGTGATTAGTGTCTGGCTGGGGGGAGAAGAGGGTGTTCCGTCAAACTAGGAATGGGATGTTCCCTGGGAATCAGCACTCCCTGTTTGTGCCTGTGTGCAAGAAGATCCTAAATCTAAGAGTGAGGTGTTTGTATGGGAACAGGGATGAAACCAAACTGTTGCAGGTTTACTGTGAATGTGAGCTGGATTTTTTTGTCTCATTTGGCAGGGGATGCATGAATTACATGTTGCCACTCTCCTATGCCTGGGGAAATTTCAGTGTCCTTGCAGTGGGGATCTGGGCCATTGTGCAGCGAGATTCCCTTGATGCCATAACTATGGTGAGTGTAAGAGTACTGATCCCCCCCAGGCTGCTCAGGAGGAGGGTGGAGGGCAGAGTCTTTGAGCTACTGATGATTTTCAGCTGTTCCCAATACAGAAGTTCTCTGGGTGGGTTTGTTTGGTTTTTTTTTTTGGTTTTTTTTTTGTAAGAGAACATATAAATCTATGAACTCTGTAAACCATGGTGAGAAGCATTCACTGTCAATTATTTTTCTTCTCAGAGATGAGCCATACTTGATTCTTCCTTTTTTTCACAACCTGCTGTTGTGACTTGTAATAACAGATGAGGACTCAAAGTGTTTAATATGCTTCAGTTGGAGGGGCTCTGAAAAACCCTCTTCTGAACATTGAATAAATTGGCAAACAAAAATAAACAACTCTAGAATATATTATAAGAAGATATCTGACAGGAAAAGGCATGAAATACAAGATCATTTATCTAGGAGTATCTGTCTGCCTGGGGCAGTACCAAGAGTGCTGTGTGATACTGGGGTGAAGGATGATTGTGCAACATAGCTCTAGCAGGAAATAGATGCAGACTGTTACTGTCAGTGGTTAAACCCTTGTTCTGTTCATGTCCCATTCTCTGTCCTTGTTTGCAGTTCTTGACTGGCCTGCTGCTCACAGTCCTCACGGACATCATTCACATCTCTATCTTCTACCCTTCCCACGACTTCCTCAGTGATGCGAAGCGGTTCAGTATAGGCATGGCCATCTTCAGTCTCCTCCTCAAGCCCGTGTCCTGCTATTTGGTGTATCGGATGTATCGGGAGCGTGGAGGGGAGTACACCTTCAACATAGGTAGGGTGCTTCTTCTGCTTCCTTGTCAGTGTGGGCCACCTCCTCAGGACTGCCTTGCACTTTGGACCCTTCAGCCTGAGCTCTGTGCAACTGGATTCTGCCCTCCAGTCCAGGCAGACAGGCTGCTTGTCTGCTTGCTCATGTTTGTTATCCCATTTTGTTGTTCTGGTGTGTCTTTGGCCTTAAATTTATATTCTTCCTCTCTTCCCTTGCAGAACTGAAGTTTTTGACATTTTGACATCTCAACGCCATTTTGCCCACAATGGTGTTGAGAGGCTTTTCCTCTCTTCTTCCTCCTGCATTTATGTGCATTTGTTGGAAACTTCTGGGTGTTCTTTCTTTGTCAACCCTTTTTTTCCCTTCTGGGGGAAAGTAGAGGCAGTATTTCCTCTGGCTGGATTATGAACAAGAGGGAAATAAAGCTGGATTTCTAACTCCATGTGGGCCTCACATGTCCTATTTACCTCGATTGCTTTGGACTTTGTTCCTCACATGGAAAATGGGACTAATATTTACCTGATGGGAGTTAGCTTGGAGACATTTAATTTTTCCCCTGGTTGTATTTGAAAATGATAATGCGGAGGATTTGCTAGAGAAGATGGGCTGTGGCTAGATGTTCTGTGTCTTGGTCAGCTTTGCCAAGCACTCCTGGTTCATGCCTGAGCAGCTGCCAGGGATTGATTGTTTGCCAGGGATTGTTGTTTGAATTCATGCTGGCAGAACCTGCAGCCTGTCACAGTTCTGTTTGTCAGAAGGCTGTGCAGGACAGAAGATAGTGTACCTACATTAGTGCCTGGAAGCTGTCTCTTATTCTGCTTTGGTGGTAGCAAAGATCACACTCCTGTGAAAAGGGGTGGAAACCTGCAGGGGGGAGGAGAAGCCATGGAAAGAAACCATGGCTTAGGGCACTGCGTGGTATTTGCACCTCTCTGCTACTGGAGTGTGGATGTCATCTCTGCCAGCTACTTGTGAAAATCCAGATGGATATGTCTTATGCCTCCTGGGTCAGGAGGCACGTGAGTCACCTGCAGTGCCTTTTTTGTGTCAGTTTTTATTAGCTGCTCACTGTGCTTGTCATTGGGATTCAGTATGTGTATAGAAAATACTGGTATCATTGAGGAGTTCATCTTTTGTTTGGAATTTGGCAGCACTTCTTTTCAAGCACACTATGACAAACCAAGAGTCTCCTCTCAGGCACAGGTGGGAATTAAGACACTTTGTAGTTTCATATCCTCTCCTGAACTTTCTTACAAGATTTTCAGTCCTGTGTGTTGCTTTGTGATGAATGTGCTTGACAAATTTCCTCCTATTTTCCTGCTATCTGGCATTTTCTTTTAAACCCAGCAGTGTTGAAATTTTCCTGGCCTTTTCTGTCTTGTTTTCTTTCTACACTAAGTCCCTCTTTGTTGCCTGGGAGCATCCTTGCTGCTTAGAACAAATCCCTCATAGTCTAATGGCTATCTGTGATTCAGGTTGCTTTCTCCCCATGGCAATACCTGGCCCCTAGATAAAGAGCTGTCCATGGATATTCTCTGCCTCCTTTTTCCCTGCTCATCCCCTGGACAGTAACATGATTTTGCACAGACAAATTGTTCATGGTGCAGTTACGAGCATGGTTGGACTCAAATTTGGTACCACACTTGAGGCATAGCTGCATTGTTGGGAAGAGTGTTTCATGGATGTATAATTCCTTTAAATCTATGCTGTCAGCTAGCCACAGTTCCTGCAGCTTCTGCCTCTGTCTGTTCATTTTTCTGTGAGTTCTCATACACTTTATCTTGCTGAAATACACTGTTACAGGAGCCTGTTGTGCTGCTATGGGATGTTGTGGTCTTGCTTTCCACACAGCCATGTGGCTGCTAAGAGAGTGGTTCTCAAGGACAGAACAGGCATGTTGGAAGGATGACTTTTCTCACCTCCTGCCTGTTTAGTGAGGATCACAGACCACAGCTGCTGGGAGCTGGTAAAATGTGTGCTCCTGAGCTGTTAGTTTCTTTTAGAGCATTCAGCTCTTGTGCTTTTGCCTTTGTCCTGAGCTTGTTCTCTTCCATCTCCATGCAGGTGTCACCAGTGCAGGCCAGGACCAGAGCACCTACGAGCCCATTGGTCAGCCAGACTCGCCTCCACAGTGGCCTTCCTCAGGCAAGGCAGCCCAGCCACCCTACTGAGGCCCCTGCAGCCCAGGACACACACTGCCCTTGCCCAGCCCAGCCTCCCACTCCTCCCACTGAAGATACTCCCCTGCTGCTGGGAAAATAAGAGAAGATGTTGGAAGGATGACTTTTCTCACCTCCTGCCTGTTTAGTGAGGATCACAGACCACAGCTGCTGGGAGCTGGTAAAATGTGTGCTCCTGAGCTGTTAGTTTCTTTTAGAGCATTCAGCTCTTGTGTTTTTGCCTTTGTCCTGAGCTTGTTGTCTTCCATCTCCATGCAGGTGTCACCAGTGCAGGCCAGGACCAGAGCACCTACGAGCCCATTGGTCAGCCAGACTCGCCTCCACAGTGGCCTTCCTCAGGCAAGGCAGCCCAGCCACCCTACTGAGGCCCCTGCAGCCCAGGACACACACTGCCCTTGCCCAGCCCAGCCTCCCACTCCTCCCATTGAAGATACTCCCCTGCTACTGGGAAAATAAGAGAAGATCTGATATTTTTTTGGCCTGCCTAAAGGTTGGGCAGATGGGTTCTGCTGTAAGTCCAGAAGATCTTGGAGGTGTCATGTTAAGCACTGTGTAATCCCAGCACTCTCCTTTCTTCCCTCCCCCTAAATCCCTCCTCTGTTCATGTGACTGGATGCACCTTCTGCAGTCTTCCATTGTGCTTCCTCTTCTTTATAAGAGAACCACTCAGAGTACTCCTGGACAAGCAATGTTTAAAAGGCTTATGGACTTTCCTAAAGCAATACACTGTAGCCTGATGTTATGCAGATATATTTCCAGGAAACATCTGGGAGTTCCAAAGAGCTGTTTTTGATGGCATTATTTACCTTCTTGTGCTCCCAGTATCTGGTATTGGGTTTTATTAACTGATGCTTTTATGCAAGTTGAATGTCCTTCAGGATACTTAAATGACTGTTGAATGTAGATTACAGATCCTTTGTGCCTTGAAATATCCTTTTGCCTTCAGCTGCCTGTTTTAACAGAACTTGAAATGTTAAATTTTTCTAAGAAAACTATAAAATGAACACAGTTTTTCTGTGTTAAAAAAAGTTACACTGGTCACTTATGTCTCATTTGAAAATGTAGCTTTTCCTGAGGGCTTGGGAGTGTAGCCAGCCAATCTGGGAGGGTCATGATGGGGGAAGGTCTACACGGCTTTTAGTCTAAGCTTTACTCTGAGAAGTAGAAAATACTGCATATAATTGTGTGGGTGGGAAGATGAGCTACTAAAATGGGGATTGGGGAAAGATGGACTTATTTACACTGTAGATGTGAGTTCCACTGGGTGTGACAAACTATAGACTCTGTTGTTATGTACAATAAATCTGTCCTGCTGTGACTTTCAGGTAAGTTTCTAAAAAAAAGAAAATCAAACAAACAAAACCCCAGAAGTACACAAACAACCAAATTTCAACAGGATTCATTTACAGAAGAAAATGAGTATGTTAGCTTTGGCAGAATTCTAGTGCTAGGAAGATAGGTATTTTTCTGAAGCAAGTTCATTGTCAAAGTTTATATCTGTTATTTTACAACTGCATTTCTCCTGACAAGATCTTCTGCTGTGTTGATTCTTCAGTAACCAAGACCCCTGTTGACTTTGCTCTAACCTCCAAAAACATGCCATTTGTATTTTTAAAACCAAGCAGTTTTCTCCCAACTTTGATTGCTTCAAACGTCAGCAGATTCTTCTTCTACTCTGCTGCACAAGCACTACATTGACCTCTTGGTGTACCTGAACCAAGCACGTGGTAAATGCCATAGAAGTGTTATATGTTCTTTTTACAGGCTTTACATATAATAGGGCACAAGACTAGGAATTGGTCTGTTCATGGCTTTAGATGGCAAAGAAGGGAAAGAGTAGGCAGAAGTTGCTGGGGCTTGTGGAGTTGCAGAGCCTTTATGTGAATGGGGTTTTCCAGCTCTTTACAACTGTACAGTGACAGCACAGAGCCCTGAATAAGACATTTAAATGCTCAGGATTGTTTTGCCTAGATCCATGGACCAAAGACTGAAAATCACTGCTTTTAATGCTCTGGGGTTTGGGTGTTGGCACAATCAGTTAGAGCTAGCGAGGCCTTCCCAGATGTTATACTGGAAATACCCATCTAACTGACCTGCCATGTGCTTTTATGTGGAAAATTCAGTACATTTGGGAGCTCCAAGAAGCAAAGCAAGGCACGAGTAACACTGATCTTACAGTGCCTCAAGGATATCTATTTTGCGCAGTAAATCAGAGGTGATGATAAAAACAGACCCCTCTCCTGGCTGAGGAGGAGGAGAGCGTTTGTACCTGGTTCAGGAGGGCGTGAGGGGATTCACGGAGCTGCTGTGCCAGAGCATGGCCTTGGGTGGGCCTCTCGTGGCGTTCTCAGCGAGATCTCCTCACCCAGAAGGTGTGATGCTGGTTTTGTTTGGTTTTTTTTAAATTTTTTTTTTAAATCCTCGGGTCCTGCTGTGCTCGGGGTTTTGGCGGTGAGCAGACAGCTCCCTAGGATGAAGCACAGGGCAGGTTCCTCCCTCAGCGCTGGGGAGGAAGACGTGGCGGCCGTGCTGAGGCACTGCCCGGGACAGGCACCGCTCCCGCCCGCCCTGAGCCCCCCTCTCCCCGGCTTTAATTAGCCCAGAGCGGCTTTCCCCGGCCATCTGTAACCTAATCGGGGGGGATAAGCTGCTTATGGAGCCGCAGCTGGAGCGGGCTCTGAGGGGGCTCGGGGTGGCTGTGGCCGTGAAGGAAGGGCGTGTGTGGTGAGTCCCCGGGGCCCAGCAGTGCGGCCGCTGCTTCTCGGAGTGGGTAAGTGGAGCTTGGGCCGTGGGTGAGGAGCTTCTCACTCCCACTTCGGCATCCTGGGACACCTACGGTGTCCCAGGATGCCGAAGTGGGAGTGAGAAGCTCCTCACCCACGGATGGCAGCGCTGGGTGTGCTTGTTGATCTCACAGGCGTCATGCGACCGCGGTGATGGTTGGTTTGGTTTGCAAGGCTGAGCAGTGTTTAGGAAAAAAAACTGCTTTCTAAGGCAGCTAAAGTGTGATTTTGGAGCAAACCCCTGCTTGGAGTATGATATGAATCAGTCTTGATCTGCGGGGATCGGGAAATAAGCACTGTGTGTGCTTAAATGTGTTTATTACGGGCATTGTTACCATATTGCTGAAATGGCATTTGCTTGAAAGAGCTTGATTTACTTTTCATTAACTGTGCTATTTATTTGCTTATAACAACAGAAATAACTTGATCATCTTAATTTTTATTTGCTTAATTGAATTTATTTCAGGTTTTAATGCATTAGTGTGTTGCTGCAAAGTGTGTATATAGTAAACATGCATTAAATGTTTTAGTTGGAATCATAAAAAGTAATATAAAATCCATTGGTCATGGATTTTGCAGTTTACTGCTTAAAAGTTGTTATGTTAAAGATCTGAGTAGCAATTTCAGAAGGCAGACAAACGTGGTTCTGAAAGGGTACTATTTCTTCCAGATCTCAATGAGACTGAAATTAGGAATGAGTGAGGTGAAGGACAGCACCTGAAATAACCATGGTGATGTGTTGAGAACCTGGTACCTAGCACTAAGAATTGAAATGGAGAGTTTAAAAAAAAAAAAATCACAAGTTATCAAGAAAATAGATTATTATCAAGAAAATAGATTGTGTCCAGATTCTTGAGGATAAGGTAGTCCAGAGCCAGGTTTTGGGTGTTCACAGAGCAAAATAACACTGAAAAACGTGGTTTGCAATTTAAATCCTTTGTAACACCCTTTTGTGATACATTGCTTGTTGATTGGATATTTCTGCGGTGCAACACCAGTCCGCTGCATTTTGTGGTTATACTTCATGCAGTGATAGGCACCCTAAGGAAGGCAGCTGTGCTTTGTCTGTTCACTCTGTAGTTGCCAACTTCAGCTGGTCTGGAAGAAATAATGGGATCTTTCCGTTCATGGCACCCTCGGTGATACATGAAAGGCAGTAACAGCAGTTCCCAGGGATAATTGCAGCACCGCCTGGCCGTCTCCTGCTGCTTTAGAAACTGTGTTTGCTCCCCAGATTGTGGTGATTACTGAAGGAGTTTGCATGTGAGAGGGAAAAATGAGCTGTTACAAACAGGGACAACTAAGCCTCAAATGTTCTTTTAGAAGAGAATGAGATAAACACAGCTTAGAAACAGTGCAATTTGGCAAGAGGCTTTCTGGGATTAGAATGTGTTTGAAAAAGACAATGGGCATTGATTTCGTTGCTGTCTCTTCTCAGATTGACTAGGGGGCTTAAGATGGTAGAGATGTGTGTGTCTTTATACAATACCATTTTCATTTTTTAAAAGAGAGGTGGAAAAGAATGGTGGTTAGAATGACAGTGATTGACAACTTGCTTTTAAAATCTGAGGGAATGGAACCACAGTCCTCTCAAATTGCACTTGTCTGTTAGCAGCAACTTAAGAATCCATTTTCAGCATGAATGTTATATGTATAACCATCAGACTCAGTGGCTAGACTGCAAAGTAGGTCTCCCAGCTATGCTGTAAATTTTCCAGATTAGGGGACAGTGTGGCTTTTATGGATGTGTAAGCATGGTTTCATCCTTTAGTGCAGACAAAAAGAAATAAGTCTGTGTAGCCTTGAACTTGGGATAATTCAGCCTTGCTAGCAACAGACTCCTTCTGAGGCTGCTGGTGTATAATGCTGGAAGTCTTTGTTTTCCAGGTTTTTTGTGGAAAACTGAATCTGTCCTTTTCATTTATTCCTGCTCTGCCAGATACGATTGTCTGCTGAAAAACAGGAAGTGTCCATAACACTTTCAGGACTGAGGCTGGTGGATCAGAGACAAGAAATTCACAAGGAAAGTACCCAAAGGCTTTTGCAAACTAGGCAAGATGAGATAGGAAATACTCGCAGTCCTTTGCTTATATTTCTTCTTGTTTTTCTTCAGACCAAAGAAACATTCAGAAGAACGTGAATTTCAATCTGTATTTGGGCACTAGAAGTGGAGTAGACATTTCTCATTCTTGGCCTGAAGCTGCAGCATTTGGTAAAAGCCCAGAAACAGCAGCACAGGCTAGGTGTGTACCACACCTCTGTCAGATGGGAAGAGATCCCAGTCTGAAGACAGACTAATCTCTCCTG